CCTTGGCTCCCTCTTTCAAAGCGATGGCGAAATAAACCGGACTGTACAGCATCGAATCAACGCAGGGTGGATGAAGTGGCGGCAGGTAACGGGAGCAATTTGCGACCCCAAGTTCCCTATGAAATTAAAGGGACAAATATATAAGACGATCATCAGACCTGCCGTCCTATACGGATCTGAAAGTTGGCCCACAAAGAGAACGGATGAAAGACGCATACATGTAGCTGAAATGCGAATGTTGAAATGGATGTGTGGTGTGACTAGAATGGATAAGGTGAGGAATGAATACATTAGAGGGAGCCTGAAAGTTGCGCCAGTGGATGAAAAGTTGAGAAGCAATAGGTTATCGTGGTATGGACATGTGATGCGGAGGGAAGAGCAAAGTGTGGTGAAAAGAGTTTTGTGTATGGAAGTTAACGGGGACAAGAGAAGAGGACAACCAAAGAAAAGATGGATGGACTGTGTAGAAGAAGATATGACTAGAAAGGAAGTAAGCAGTGAAATGACGAATAATAGAGTAGAATGGAAGAATAAAACATATTGCGCCGACCCCAAATAAAAATTGGACAAGGACAGGAAGAAGAAGAAGATGTAACTAGAACCATTGCATGATGTGCATTTTACTAAAACATTGCCCCTATTGGCGCGATCGCTCATGATATTAAATTGCAAATAAATTTATCTATATTACCAAAATTGTTGCTACGAAGGCAAGGACAATTTTTAACCGACTTCTTAACCGACTTCAAAAAAGGAGGTTATCAATTCGACACGTAGGTATGTATGTAATATTATTGGAATCGCCAAATATTTACATATGCTAATCTATTAGGGCTTCCAAACAAATATACAAAATTTTATAGGTGTATGTATGTATGTTTGTTCACACATTCTCCGAAACTAGTAATCGGGTCGTGATCATTCTTTTTTATTTGCTTATATTTTTTTCAACTTCCCTAATAGTAAAGATTTCATCAAAATCGGTTGAACTGTTTTTATGATATGGACTAAAATGTGTAACGGCTTGATTTATTAATACGAGCTACGGTATGGTGTCAAAGAGAAAACAACCCAAATACTTGGTCAAAATTTAGTGGGCATGTAAGAAAATCAAAATGGCCGAAACCAAACTGGCCTCATGATACAAATCCGCGGCGAAAACTAAAAATTAATAAGACTGGCGGGCTCCGACACGAGCTACGGGAGTTGATTATATTATTACTCGATGGCAAATTGGATGAAGTTGTAGGCTGTAGCAGTAGGATTGCTACATAAACGCAACATTTTTTTGGTACACTTGTAGATTGTGAGGAAATGCATTTACGCATACCACCTGTAGAGATACAGGTGTTTTTGTTTTGTAAAAAATTTTCAATACGGGATGCATAAGCAAATTAATTGTGTTAGTGCGCGAAATTATCGCATGTATTTTTTACCACAGATAAAAAAATCCCGTGGAATATAAAGATTTTTGTTACATGTTTTTAATATGCATTAACAAAGAAAAGAGCTATCTTAATTATATTTTTTGCCTATAGTAGCAATCTCAATCTAAAGCATATCTTACCTGGTAATTTTTATGCTAGATATTATTGTATTGAAATATTAATTAGAAGTGCATAGTTTGCGTACAAAAAAGTTCCGCACTGTATTATGGATGCGTTCCTAATCACGCAAAATTTCATTTTATTTTTTAAATTCGTAGGCATTTTACAATTGTAGGCTTTAGGCGTCTCTCCCTGACTTACCCTATGAACATAAAGAAAGTATGTGTATAAATTAATAAATGCGCATCTAGTGAAGAAGAAGTCCAGGAAAATAAAAAACTTTTCTACTTTAGATAGTCATCAAAAACCGAAAGTATCGAGAAACTGAACAATATAATATTAGTACAACAATAATAAATAATTAACGAAGGAGTCATTGGAACTATTTACTTTGACACTCGTAGCGAAGCAAATAATACTGACTGAGGTAGGAAACGAATACTCGTAATATGTAAAATATTTATTAAAAATATTTATTTGTTGTTTCGTTTAAACACAGTTTATACATTCAAAAAGTTTCGTAATTATTAGGAACCTAAATTTTTTCGTGGTAAAAAGTAAAATATGTGCTATTCTAAACTTATAATAATCTATCTACAACCGTTCTGGCATGATTGAGTAACAAACATCCATCCATCCAAACTTTTGAATTTATAATATTAATGGATTGCATTTAATTAAGAACTTGTAGATACTCATTAGACAATTATATTTTCAATAAGTCGTCAGAACCAGAAAAAAATATAATTATAGAAAGATGCAACAAGGTTTCTTGGAAATGATTATTTTGGATACGAAATAATTTATGACAACAATCGATACACATTGCGATATATGTATCTGACTGTTTATTGCACCGGAAGTCATGGATTCGATATCCACAAAGCCAGTTTGAATTGACAAAGTTGTTTTAATATAGGTATTGTACCTATAAAATATTACAGATATTTTAGAGCATTCAGTAACGCGAACTAATAAGGATTGTTTTTAAAAAAATCTTGGAGAACTAAGAATAGGGAGAGGAGTGTATTCAGTGTCTGCCTCGCAACCGAAAATGCGCTAAGATGGAGATTGAAAAAGAAGTTAAATGAGAAAGCTGTGAAATAAATAACACATCATAATATCTTCATAATTAGTTGATTACATGAGGCAAGTTCAGTTGAAATGAGACAACTCCAGGAATCGTTCAAAGGAAACATGCGGGGCAAATTAGTCGCCTTGCAATGCTCATGTCGTCAGGAAAATTAACACTTGTTCAATTTATAGCAAGAGAAAATTTACTGTATCAACAAATATACTACACTAATGCTACGTTTACATTATCATCATATCATAAGGGTTGACACGTCTTACTACGAAAATTAAGCATTGTCTCTAAATCCATAAACTTTATTGTATTTGAGTAGTAACTACTTAATAAAAACACTCAAACAGTGCTATTTAGTTATACTATAAAAAGTCTGAAAGTGCATTTGCATATAAACATCATTTTTAACCGACTTTAAAAAAGAAGGAGGTTCTCAATTAGTCGGAATCTTGATTTTTATGTATGTTCACCGATTACTCAAAGACGTCTGAACCAATTTGGAGAATTCTTCTTTGTTTCAAATGGTATACTTCCCAAATGGTAACATTTAAATTTTATTAAAATTAGTCGAGCGAGTTTTTAAAAAATCAACAATTAATTATTTTTAAATAAATAGCTTAATTGAATATGTTATTAAAAAACTTTCTTCTTATAAATAATAATAAACAAATAAAAAAATAAAAATCCATTTCCAGGCACTAAAAAATAAAAAAATAAGTAAACGGATGTTTTCATTAAGAATAGATACCTAATGAGATATTTTCGATATTTTTGAAGTCGGTGCTGTTTGTCTGTTCGTCTGCATATCAGTGTGCATTTCACGCAAAAACTACTAAAAGGATTTTAACAAAATTTTGTGTAGTGATAATTTATTATTCGGGTCAACATTTAGGGTACCTTTTACTATAGGATTTTTTTCATTTCCTTGGGAAAACGTTATAACTCGTTCTGTCGAGTCGTCCGTAGAAATTTACATGGCTAGGCAACGCTAGCTAAATCTTCAGAGATACATCGAAAAAGTATACTAAGAATTTATAGGTCTTAAAAAAGCCTACACAAAATACAATATATGTCTATCTACTTAGGTACATTCGCAATAGCTATTTTTATCTATTTAAAACGTCCTTAGGGACGATCCGAGCGAAGCAAATGTAAGTCGACATAAGGAAAAAAACTCACGTAGTTAAGTTTCATTTATATTTTGTCAACTTTATTAAATAATATATAATTATTTGCAATATTTATTAACAGAATCCAAAATGAAAAGTGTAAACACGCGAATCACAGGACTTTGGTAGGTATTCAAACATTTTATGCAAAATGGTTTAAATTGCGCTAATTTTATTTGTATATGTACAAAAAATACAATACAATCATCATGTAGATAAATCATTATTACTACTTAACGTTGTTACATACACATTATAAAGAAATCTATACATATAATAAAATTGTAACTAAGCCGAATCTGTACATTAAATATTTTTTGGAAAATCTTATTGCAATAGACATTATTATCGATACAGAGGTCGGCCTCTATATCTATAGTTTTTAGAATTTTTGCCTTACTGTCTGTTTGTTACCGCATCACGAAAAAACTGGAGGGTTTTGATGAAATTTGGTACGATAATAACTGGTTATCCGGGTCAACATATAGGATACTTTTTACTGCGGGAAAATATCTTATTTCTGAGAAAAAATATAAAAACTGCAATGTAAGAGTATACTAATGTGTAAAACTTAAGAATTTGGTTTTTGGTCATCTAAGCGCGGGCGGAGCCGCGGACAATGCCAGTATTCGATATATTTCTCTGATTTTGACGCAAATTCATCCATTATAAAGAACTTATGTACGTAAGTAAATATTGTTTATGTACATAAGTTCTATCGTATATGTATAAACTCTATAGGTCATTCCTGAATCTACATGTGACTTTTATATAAATATTTTTTGATTCATTAGTGATTTATGCTCGTTTGAGTATATAATTCGAAGCTGTGATTTTTATATAAATGTTTTTGATACATTAGTGATTTATGCTAGTTTGAGTATAATTCGAAACTTAATTAATCTTATGATTAATATTTACGACTACATCTCTGACAAAGTTACTCGCGTACTTTGTTCAAGCTATTTGATAAGAAATATAGGTATTTAAAAACACAAAGTAAAGAAACAAAGTCAAAGAAACTGTTAATAGTAGTCTTTTGAACATTAATGCGTTCTTATTTTCAAGTACATCTTTTTCTATACTCTTTCATAGAACCCGTGGAACTCAACGTGGGTCGCCCTTAGCTTGCCATTCAAAAGTGTACTATAGAGAGTCCTTTTATATCATCCGCTTCAATTTGGCGGCGCAATTTGTATGCACTTTGTAGCCGTGGCCGCTCAAAAGCACCTCGCTGAAGCATTTATTCATGGAGAGTGCTACTGGTAAATGTGTTTTTTTCTACTGAAGAAACGTCTTGATGACTACGTTCATAGTTAATGAGTAACCAGTATCTGGCGGGTGTTGTACACTAAATTGCCCTCTCTTTAAAGACTTTAAGTTTGCCAACCCGACTAGAGCCGGTTTAACGTGCAGAACGCTTCCGGTTGTACCTTATTGTTTACCATCAGAATTACTTTCTTTTACGGGACACATATAATATGGCCAAGTCCGCATGTTGATACTGGAAATGAGTCTCGTGTGTTTTTAACCAACGTAAAGATCTATCAACGTGACTCTTCTACGCAAATATCTTTTTTGTAAAAAAAATAGCTTTTTGATCTTCAAAGCGTTCTTTAGAAATATGTATGTGAAAAGACACGATGAAAGATTTAAAAACTTCAATGTTTCGTAATTTGAAATAATGAAGAAGGTAAATATATTAATGTTTACCTATTACTAAAATATCGAATATATTAAGATGTAATCAATCAAATATTACGAATTATTGTATTACAAAGTGTTATCATATGACAAAATTTGAAATAATTATATCAAGGCTTAGCGACATGAGAAACTAAAAATAAATTCTTATTGAATTTGCGCCAATTCTATTGCATCAATATGGACTGGTGTCCAGTAATTTTCTACTGTCCGTCTCTACACGTGTCGGTGCTGTTTAAATTCTAGTATTATATTGTGCTTTGTATATAAAATAAATGCTAACGTTTTACCAGCACGCATAATACGAGACAACGCGTGATAATTATTTATATAAACTATTACATTGTCCTATTGTCCGTAGAGCTGTTTAATAAAGGTAATATATGAATTGTATTTGATCAATACATTTTGCGAGCATCGTCAAACTTGAACTCAATTGCCTATCTATTTCGAAACTTCATTTTGCTGGTACATTATGTCTACTTACTGTTCATGTGCGGCAATTCGACGTCGTGTGATAAATTTATTTTCTGTTACACCAATTGACAGAAGTGCGCATGCGAACAGTTGTATTATTAAAAGAATTGAAACTGGGATCACACGAGTCCATCAGTGAAGACAAAGCGGGTGTTTTGTTTACAAAAACATGACTTACGAGTACGCCTCCTGATAAACGTGCTTATATTCAAAGTATACTTTAAAAGTAGAGTAAAAGGCTAAGAAAATGGTATCTGAGTCTACGCAAGCGGGTAAGTATTTTTTTAAACAAATATAAAATAGATAAGCTCAGTAACAAAATGATAAAATAAAGAAATGTAATAATAAAATTAAAAATAGCTGAAATATATTTAATTACTATTAGGACCTACAATAAATAATTAAATATGCTATAGAATATTTAAATGTTGTAAAAATTCTTAGCAGTTGACCCTGATAATATGCAATATGGCTCCACGCAAATACTTTATAAATAAACTGTATTTTCAGATGATAATATAAGAAATAAAGCCAGTGATAAAGCTATGAAGTTAAAAATAAGCTTCATCAAAACGTGAGTAAGTATAGCGACTTTTTGTCTTCAATAATAAGTATGAACACGATATGAATACTAACAACTTTTTGTATTGTTTATTTTAGAAGTGAGATTAAGAAAAATAATGCTGGTGCCTTACAAAAGTTATATTCAAAATTACCATCTACCTTAGAATTAAAGCAGTACTCAGCAGTATGTATATGTAGTAAGTTTTTTCTATGTAATAAATAAACATTTTAAATGAAACTATTTTTTCGGATTTTTTCGAGGATTTATTTTTAGTTTTGGTTCCCGACGTTTCGAATGCATTACAGCACTCATGGTAACGGGAGAGATAAGTAGGCAATTACATAATGTCCACTAAGAATATAATATTGCGACCATGTGTTGTAGGTCAAGCCAAACAATATTCATTTCGTGCGGAAGTCAAACCCGCGACCTCTGGCACCGAAAGAAAAAACAGTGCCAATCTTCGCTACAGTGTGCGTTTTCATAATAAACACTCAAATAGTTGAATTAACTTTGCTCAAACTATTATTTGAATATAACTTAAATAATTAAATATTCGTATCTTATCCATATGTAATAATAGGTATTTACCTGTGAAATTGCCGTTTAATATAAAGACAGTTTAAGCCATAGTTAAAGGCATTTTATTCTAAGTACCTGGGCGACCGAACTTCGCTTAGAGTTTATGGCCAACAGTAATATTCTTTTTAATTTGGCTTAAAAACAAAAAAATACTTGAACCCCGGACATCTGTGATAGTCAATCTCGCGCCTTGGCGGTTTGACCACGATGCTAATGCCCAAGCGTGCGAAATTAGCGACCTTATTTTGCGTGGAATAATGCGAAAGAAAACCGCATGAACACTCGAAAACACGCAGAAATAAGACTAATCTAGATCGATTGTTCGCCCCCGAAAACCCCACGTATCGAATTTCTGTGAAATCGTTAGAGCCGTTTCCGAGATCGCCAGTATAAATAAATAAATACACAAGAATTTATCGTTTAAATGTATAAGATTTAGCAAAATGAAAATTCTCATAATAGCTATAGGTCTCCTTTTCCAAAAAGCACGTTATAATCAAAGCTGGATAAAGTCTCTAAACATATACGAGTATAGTATGGACTTCCAACTATTAAGAGTTAAGTGTATGTTTATAAATTACAATTTGTTGATGGAGAGTATAATTTATACTTTTATAGGATAGTAATTGCTCTTAATTACTTAATGGATAATAATATAACTAGACTGTTGAGTGATATAGTTTACATGCTGTACCTGTTAAGTATTGTAATCATATTCTTTATTACAGTATTATCGATATGGGGAACATCATGGTTTCTTTTCAAGGACCATGTATTGCCTGGAGGTTTTATATTCAGTATGGCTACATTGATTATAACGGGTTATATCTGCGGCCACACTTTGGAAAAATATACCACAATCAATGCTGTTGTCGGAATGACTTTAATCGGAGCCTTGTGCAAATCTTTCAGTTCGACAAACTTCCTTGAAAATCCCTCTGCAGACACGATAGATTTTCATCTTAGGTACAGTACTCTATTAAAGTTAAATTCTTAACATATAAATATATAATATGTTAGCTAGTTTTTATATTTACTAATATTAATTTTATGAAGATATTTTGCTTATTTTAATAAATAATAAAGTAAAAAACTATCTTTTCTAGTGAAACGTATTTAAAAAAAATATTTAAAACTATTCTTTTATGTTAGTGTTTTGTTATAGTAAATAACTTTTTCAGACGGATTTATCCAGTTATTATTTTGACTAAAGGCCCACTTACATGGAACTGGAAGTACATTAAAAGTAATTCCGTAAAAGTTTTCTCATTGGCAACCCTCCCTTGGATCGCTGAGTGTTTATCCACGGCATTCTTCAGTCACATACTCTTGGGGTTCCCTTGGTACTGGGGTGAGTAAGATTGATTACATAATTGTAATTTACTAGAACTTTATATCTATAAATGTATGTTTAACAATAAGAAGATTTATAAATAAATAACAATGAGAATAAAATCCTAAATATTTATATTGTATTTTCCAATTATAATAATAATTTCGCCATAAGCGGTTATTTCTTTCTGTATCATATTTTAAATACAATAAAGAATATAATAAGCGGTTATCGATCATGATAACTATATTCAAAGAGCGTAACTATATGCACAATTGATTGTCATGCGATCAACTTTTCAACTCTGCTATTTAAATTAAAGTAACTGTTTTGAGTTAAGATATTTATTTAAAAATAAAAATCGATAACTTTTTTAGCACCTGCTGGCCATTAATCCAAGATTGCATGATTTTCACTTTTATAAGTTAGAATTAACAAAACTTTTATTTATTCTAAATCTTATATCTTATATTTTATTATAATCTATCTATTTTTAAACAAGATTTTGTCTCCAGGTCTACATCTTGGAGCTATATTGGCTTCAGTATCTCCAGCAATAGTCGTCCCAACCACTATAGCGTTCAGTGAGAAAGGACTTGGCTTGAAGAACCAAATAGCATTATTGGTTGCAAACGCCGGCGGTCTCGACACAGCTTTTACAGAAGGCATGTTTGGAGTTATTAACAGCGCAATATTCTACCAATCACCGCCCATTTACCGTATAGCTAAGGTAATTTTCAATATAGCTTTTAGTTTTAATAGTCTTAAGTACTCGGACGGTCTGGTTTTATGAGTATAATATTATTAGATACTATCAGTAGCAAAGAGTATTTAATGCTGTTAACACAACCTCACACAGGCTACATTAGTTTTACCAACATCCTCGTTTGTCGATAATAAGGAAATTGAATTAAACGTAAGATTAAATTTTCCTGCACCTCGTATATATCCCTGCATATACGACAGGTTATCTTTTGATACTTTCATTGCAATAGAATGATAGCATGTGTATGACTTGGTTTTTTTTATAAAACGATTATAAAAAACATTGTTTAGTACGTACATTAATAACATAATAATATCTATACATATAATAAAATTGTAACTAAGTCGAATCTGTACATAATTTTTTTTTTAAATCTTATTGAAATAAACATTATTATCGATACAGAGGCCGAATCTATAGTTTTTAGAATTTTTGTCTGTCTGTCTGTCTGTTACCGCATCACGAGAAAACCACTGGAGGGATTTTAATGAAATTTGGTATGGTGATAGCTGGTTATCCGGGTCAACATATTTTTACCGCGAGAAAATGTCTCATTTCTGAGAAAAAATAAAAAAAACTGCAATGTTATTATGTAAAACCTAAGAATTTGGTTTTTGGTCATCTTGAACGCGAACGAAATTTAAATAAATTAAGATACAGAATATATTGTAAACGTAATTTTATCTTTATTACTTACTGTGAAAAATGCATGACTTCCAATAATAATAATCTTACAAATTTAACACCTGCAGGTAAATTTCTAAGAAATTAGTTAAATTTCACCAGCAATTAAATTTGCCAGTGGTAGCCCAGTGGTAACACGCTCGCATGGAAAACCAAATAAAGCGAGTTCAAATCCTGGGTCTCGCACCTCTGATATTTTCATGTGCGAATCATTTTCAATATGATTACCATTTGTCTTAACGGTGAAGGAAAACATCGTGAGGAAACCTACATGTCTGAGAGAACCTAACACGTTTTCAAAAGACATGTGAAGTCCGCCAACCCACACTTGGCCAGCGTGGTGGAATATGGCCTGATCCCCCTCGTACTGAAGGGAGGCCCGTGCCCAGCAGTGGGACGTTAAAAAAAAGGGGCTGAATACATACAACAATTAAATTTCTAAGAAATCTATTTTTAACTGTAACGCCGGCGTGTCCGCGGTCGTTGAGGGATTAATAACAATAAGAAATTAAAATACTTTGAAAGTATTTCACATGTAACGCTTAAACTCTGATAAATAAATACCCGACTTCGGCGAAGCCCAAAGGAGGGCTGAACTTAAACTAGGGCTTGAACTGTATGTATGTGTAACGGGGGTATTATACAGCCCTGGATTTACACTAGGGGCACACGGGGCTAGTGCTCAGGGCGGCAAATTTTTAGGGGCAGCAAAATTCGGAGGGTGGGAAAAAAATTTTCTTCGCGTTATCGAAAACGCTTTTTTTCCAAAAAAAAAAAAAGATTGACTTGTAGGTACATTTTTCGAAAAATTGATACCATTTACAAATTATTATCTTTCTGCTTATTTCGAAAACATAATAATTAAAAAATTTAAATTTTGAACACTTTATTCAAAATTTCGATAATTGGGCGGCATTTTTACAGTGCCCAGGGGCAGCGGAAACATCAAAATGAACCATTTTGATGTTTCATGTTTTCCATGGCTCCAATTTAGGAGTCATGGAAGAAAATAAAGTTCTTAAATAAAACTTCAATTCAAAAATACTAACTGGTCAGAGCTAAAAAACTGTAAATAAAAAATTAAATTATAGAAATCAGACACTCGATTGCGTAAAAAGTAAAGTCTAATACAAAATATACGTACATGTAGCAACACTCACACTTAGTGAAAACATGTAGGTATGTCGTCGATTGAATAATACTTGTTTCTATCTTTTTAGTTCACTTTTTACGCAGTCAGGTTTTTATCTTTATTTTTTCTAAATTTATCTATAATGAAATCCCAAACTTATGGCCGATTTCACCAACGTCACCTAAGTTTAAGGGATCCCCTAAGCATGGTTAGGGGGCTGTTAGGAGACAGTTCCTATTTCACCGACAGTTAGGGGTCACCTAAATATTAAAAGGCCCCCTAAACTTAGGTGCTCGAAATATGGGCTTAAAGACGATCGTCAAACGAAATTTAATTTAGGGGCTAGTTTAGGGGACTTTTAAGCTAGGGATCCCATACGTAGGTGGCAGCTTATAGGTTGTTGGTAAAATCGGGCATTAGAGTGCTACATGTGTTACACTACTGAGTAAAACACCCCAAGTCATTAAACAACTATTTATTGTTATTAATTTTGTCTAATGAATAATAGTAATTTAATTTAAGTATAAGCTCTCCAAAGACTTGTTAATTTAATGTGATATAATATTTAAGAATCCGTGTTCTAACAGGCTATACTCGCAATTTTCGTCGGAATTGCCTTGGGAATGTCATGGGGAGTATTAATCGATGTTTTACCTGACCATAACGATTTGTATGCGCCAACTATTCGAAGTCTACTTATTTTTGCTGGGGGAATTTTATTCAGCTACACAGGAGGGTATCTTGGGTGGGGTGGAACATGTAAGTATAGTATATATTATGTAGATACTAAAACACAAGAAACAAATAAACAATTTAATTTTTTATCTGATACTTTAATATATAGCGTATATATACTCGAATAGGTTTAAATCGATTTTTTTTATTTGATATTCATTTATAATAAATAGTATGTATATCGGAATATGATATTTATAATTTTATTTATGCTATATGCAACACTAGTTTTATTCGTGTAACAATAGAATTGGCGATTAATAGAGCTTTATTAATTAATATCAATTATCTACATGACTGTGCCAATACATCTACTAATTAAATTAAAGTTTCACAAATTTCAATACTAAAGTTAAATATAATTTATTACATTATAAAACTAGATATTTTTATCACTGTATCGTTAAGAATAATAAATGACTATAATTTTCAAATAAAACGAGCTACAGAGTACAAATCTATATTCTCTTAGTTAGGTTTGATAAGAAATCTAACTCATTGTGCAGCTACTAAAACGTTCCTTATCTCCTTCCTTATCTCGTATTCATATTATAGAAAAAATTAAGTTAAATTAGCATCTAGCACAAACAAGATGTCCCAACTTAATCCTCTGCCAAAGCATCGATGTGTACCAAACAAAGGTCTGATTTGCCTTCTTCTAAGAACCCAGGTGGCCGCAGCATGTACGTAGTGCGTGCTCAACGTATAAACGACTATTTTCAGGATGCTGCAGCTTTTGAAAAATACTTTTATTATTTTCTCAGCTTTGAAGTTTTTATAAAATCCATTTGTAAATAATATTTACTACTTTATAGTAATTTGTTTTTCTACTTTTATATTTGTAAATATTTGTTCCAATATTTCAAAGCGAAAATTTATCTTGAAAATAATTTAAGTTCGCGTGAAACAAGGTTCCGTTCAGTGTCTATACAAGATATTTAAAGAATTAAAATTGTCTTTACAATTTTCTTGTGAATGAGGAATTCGTTTTCCCTAAGAAAATCTTAGGGATTTTTAAATTTTACAAAATACAGTAAAAAAAATATAAAAAGAAACCTGTTTGCATTCTTAATTTTTATGCTATATTTTTATATGGTTTATTTTTTGTTTTTTATTTTTAGTTTGACCCCAAAATAAGTCTACTAAATTTTATTGTTTTTATAAAATTGAAGAGCATATGCCTTAATAGACGAACGGACAGACATACAGCTTGCAATTAACTAGATATAGGACGTCTTATGATTGCATCAACATTAAGTTAAGATTCACTCTAATCCCAAATCAGCTTGAATATTCACATTCGCATTACGCTCAATCACTTTAAAGATACCTGAAAATGAAATATTAAATTAAAATTTTTGCTCAGCTCGTATAGGAAATGTACCTAACATATAAGTAAAATGTGGTACTTCCAGTGTAAAAATATAAATATATGTAATTATGCACTTACAAATTATTTATTTTAATATTATGTTCGCTTTGATATATTACATTTTATATCTCTACCTTTCTGGTATAGTAGTAGTAATATTTTATGTCTTTATTGCCCCTACATAAATAAAAAAAATAATTGCAATTAGAAAACCGACATCTGCAGCAATCGACATATTTGCGTGTAACCTTGCCGTTTATCTTGATAATGTGTTAATGAGAACAAGTGTCGTGCTTCTTTACAATAATTGTGCTCCTCCTTGATCAGCCTTCATATCAATTAAAGCCAATCAACAATATTATTTAAAGTAAACGAATATTGCACGATTCAGTATCAGATGTTGCTTCAATTGAGCTCGAAATAACTACTTTACTCCGAAAAAAAACCGTTCTAATGATATATTGTTACATTTTTATTTCACATGTTCTACATTCATTGTACCTAATGGGTCATGTTATAAAAACAGCATTATTTGCTATGTTTTATTAAATGTAAGTGCATATAGAATAACGTATTTTTCGTAATATAGCAGGAGTAGCTATTATGGTCTGCGCGGGCGCAGCAGCTACACGATGGTCGCGCCGCAATTGGCCAATTAACAACAATCCCGTCTCTGAAGTTTATAAGCTCTTGTGGAGAATATTTGAACCGATGCTTTTTACCCTTAGCGGTTACTTTATTGAGGTAATTTTATTTCTTTAAAGTATTAAGAAATAAATATAACATTATGTTGATAATTTAAATAAATACACAAAAATTTTAAATATTTGTGTATATTTATTTTACGTAGATACATGATGCGACGCTAGTACTGAAATTGATTTACGTAGTTTCTCAAATAAACACTGTATCAGAGATAAGACAAAGATTTATTTATTGCAGACCATATCTCGATAACCTGTTCACATACACGTAAAATTTATTGAATCAAATAGAAATATGACTCAACTGATGCCTCGTTACATATGATACATTATTATGAATAAAACGTATAATATTATTATTATTATTTAATTAGACTAACAACGGACCCTGTTTATTTATTATTGTTGTATATTTATCTTTTAATATGTAATTTGTTTGTCCAGGTGTCTCATATGACGACTAAGGATTTTGGTCTAATAGTGAGTTGTATATTTGGGGCTCTCTCTATCAGAATGCTTGCAGCGTTTTTAGTGGCAATGGTTAATCAGTTACCTGTGAAAGAAAGCCTTTTTATTGCAATCACTTGGATGCCTAAAGCCATCGTGGAGGTGTGTATTTTATTTAGTTAATAATTCAATGTTTTTTTTATTTATTATTTTAATTTAAAGAAAGACTGATATAAATACACCAAAAATTTTAATTTTGTTTATTTTTGTATCTTGATTTATTCGCTGTTTTGGAAAACTGCTCGATAGAATTTAACAAGCCATATACACAAGGTATTTTTTTCCACGTAAAAAGCGGTTCGAGAATATACTTTCATAATGGCAAATCGTGAGTATGCCGGAATTTTAAAGAATGAACTAAAAAACTGTAAGAATAGGATGTCAAAATTTTAGCGTTCTAGGTCAAGTGGTTTGATGAACGTTAACGAATCAGACAAAGTATACATTATATAATATTTTTCATATTTAGGTGTGTCTTAAGAAAAATGTAGCTTCTAAATGGACAGACAAATTTAAATGCGATTTTTTCACATCTGAAAATTTCAATCAGTTCGAATTTCATTGAAAGTATGTTATTTTTATAGTATGTGTTTTTTAACCGATTTAGTAATGATACGTTAACCAGGATGTTCTTACCAAGACCATATTTTGCAAACTGACCTGCTCCTTAAGTTTTATTGTATTACATATCTATATTAATATTATAAAGAGGTAAAGTTTGTGAGTTTGTGACGTTGTAGGGGGTAATCTCTGGATCTACTGAACCGATTTAAATGAAATTTGGTAAAAAGATAGTTTGAGACCCTGGGACGGAAGGACATAGCATACTTTTTTTCAGAAATCATCCCTTAAGGGGGTAAAAATTGGGATGAAATTTTGTATTGGGAAGCAAGCTAGGGACGATCCCGAGCGAAGCGAAGGTGAGTCCCTAGTCATAAATAAACTTATTTAATCGGTCGTGATGGGTAGTTAACGAAGATAATCACGGCTTTAAAATAAAATAACTATATTAGAGTATAATGAGTTAGAAATAAAATTACTTAAATATGAAAATCAGTTATGACAATATCTTTAAAAAATATATTACCTACTTTTAAGTGATTGTTCCCATATAAAACATTGATAAATTAAAAAGGTGGTATTAATTAGAAAAACCAAAAATAAAACAGAGCCTTGATCTGGTTGATCTTTCGAAATCATTGTTTATATACATAGATACTTATGTAAGTCTCGTTTCTTGCAATTAGAATATAATTAACTTGTTTATAAGGATATTAATATTTAATATTTATGAAATTGACGTTTGAAAGTTTTATGGTAATTGTTTTTGTGTTAGTAACATACGATAACCATTAATCATAGTAAATGCCAGTATGCCCGCCTATTACGAATAGCTAACAAATGTATACGATACATCAACGCTAGTAACATAACGTTTAAGTGATATTTTCATTAACGAGTGATAACTAGTCCACCAACGGTCTCGGGTTTAATTCACTTTGGGACCCTGCATGCCAGTAATTTGTCGAAGAGCTTGCTCTCAAGTGTTGTCACTAGAAATATATAGTATATTATATAAATTATTTACTTTAAATGATATACTAAATTAAAAAATACGAATGAGCTATTTATAGTTAGATTACAGAAATATATGTATGTAGGTCAGTAAATTCGTTTAAATTTCCTTTTTATATAATTTTCGAGGCGTATTTTTGTAAAATAAAAAAATAATTCTTTTTTTATCGAATAGGATATATACCACTGAAATAAAAAAAAACATGGATTTTTAGGATCTTATTTTATTATAATTATTTTCATTTGATTTTGAAATTGGCATTACTTTTAAGTTATGGCAACGTACTACTATACTAATATATTATATCTACCAATGTCAGATAAATATGTATCTATGTACCAAACATGTTTATGATATGTGTATTAATCCTGATAATGATCTTAAATTTTATAAAATATCTCAAAATTTTACTGCAAAAAATAAAATATTTTTTAAATATTTGTTTAGAAGTGTTAAACGAAAAGAACGAATATGCGAATAAAAAATCGATGGACTAAAAATTGATGGACTTTTCGTAAATCCACATCGCAAAATTCGTGTGGTACTTACAAAAACGACTATAATACATTATATTCGTAGTAAGCACGTAAAGGTCACATAGAGAAATTTGTGACGTGGCTTTCAAGATATAACACAATGTGACCTCGTATGTAGAAGAAAACTCACAATAATTAGTTCTAGACTCTATAATATAACTACATAACGGAGAGTAATACGAGATTTGAATTTTCTATATATCATTTCATGATTTTGATATTTTACACAAACCATGACTTATTGTGGGTTGTTATTTAGCTCAAGCGGGGTTTCGATCTTATAACCTAACATACATACATAATGAACAGCTGCATAACTAAAAGATTGAAAAGATTTATCGGTATTTTATGCAACTAGTTAGGACTTAATAATCTAACATAAATGTATGTATAAATAACATGAACGCTGTTCTCAAATTTCCGTAATTATATTTTAATATTGAATAGCGAAAAGGGACTATACTTCTAACAAAGAAATTATTTTTTATAAGTATCATAAAGTATCTGTGAGGGAAATAGAATGAATAGAATCTCTTATTTCATACTAGCGACACACCCCTGCTTCGCTCGGGTTCGACCCTAGGTTGCTTCGCCATACAAACTTTCACCCCCATTTTCACCCCCTTAAGGTATGATTTCCGAAATAAAAACTACCGTATGTCCTTCCCAGGGTGTCAAGTGTTTAGTAGTTTCGGAGCCTATTCGATACAAACAAAAATCCAATTTTTCCTTTTTACAATATTAGAATAGATACTTTAATGGAATATATTTTAATAAAACTAATAAAACCGTTGCTTTTAATATCCGCACTCGACATTGTAATTAGTGTTGAATTTTCCATTCGAAATTTAAAATTAATTATTACCACTATATTTTAGATAAGTAATACAACAACCTCAAGATTGACTTTACGCTATGTTTCTCAGTAAACTTCTTCAACGTCACTTGTTTTCTAGATTAGTCCTAATAAGTAGACATAGAAAATATTAATATTAAAGACAGTTGTGTATTATGAACAAGTAATAGTTTCTATTCACATTCTCAGTCATGCAAATGTTGTCCCATAATATAGATCTTTTATCTGAATTACAAAAATTACCATAATATTCTTTTAATTGTAATTATTTTAAGTAATATTCTCTAGTCTAGAATATAGCTAGATCTCGCTTAGTGGTCGAAAATTTTTAGACAAAATTTGAAATTTGAAAAATTGCTTTACTGCTAACAAGTCCTTAAGAACTAAAGCTTACTAATAGCACGGTAATGCTACATACATTACTGTGTCAAAAGCTTAACAAACAGAGGAAAATAAGGTACTGAAGTAATTTGTCTTAGCCTATTTATATATATATATATATATATATATATATATATATATATATATATATATATATATATATATATATGCGAAATTATGTGTTTTGCAAATGCGAAATTATGTGTATGTTACTTATTCACGTTGTAACGGCTCAACACATTTTAATAAAATTCAGAACGGACATAATTATGAGCTTCTTTTTGAAGTGAAACTTCTTAAGAATCGTTCTGATTTGAAACTCGATGGAATCAAAATGCAACACTAAAAAGAGACAAACACATAAATATACATGTAAGATTAAGCCGCCGAGACAATGAGGTAGAATACATGCATGTTGCCATGGTAGCCGTTGTTATTTGAGATTAGCATTGCCCGAGGCTCCGCCCGCGTTCACATGACCAAAAACCAAATTCTTAGATTTTACATATTAGTATACTCTTACAATGCAGTTTTTGTATTTTTTCTCAGAAATGATATAGTTTCCTGCAGTAAAAAGTATCTTATATGTTGACCCGGATAACCAGCCATCATCAACCAAATTTCATCAAAATCCCTCCAATGGTTTTTCCGTGATGCGGTAACAGACAGACAAACAGACAGACACAAAAATTCTAAAAGCTAAAGATTCGGCCTCTGTATCAATAATAATATCTATTTCAATAAGATTTTCTAAAAAATATTTAATGTACAGATTCGGCTTAGTAACAATTTTTTATGTATAGATTTATAGCGCTAGGTTAGGGTCATCGGAACTTATAAACTTTAAATTAAACTATCTTTTTGGTTCTTTTTTTGTGGATTTATTTTGATTTTTCCAATATTCGAGTAGGTAGGAAGTATAACTTATTAATAACATAATATACACATCGATATAAAATTATAATTATAATAGCAATACAAAGTAAACGCAAATATCTACTTTAATATGTTTATGAACAAATTATTTACATTTCTACTAGTGTTGAACATTTAAAATCAGTCTTAGTATTCATAAAATTCTTATCTTTATTCCACTGCAAACAACCTTGCATCTTAAATAGGTTAAATATGTACTGCGAATATAATGCCATAATAAATACAAGAGTAAAAAAGAAAATATGAATTGTTACTTTTTCATAACCCTGACAAAATGAATTTATAGGTACATATAATATGTGGATCAACATAATAGTAATTCGTTTCAATCTATTTTATTACAAATTTAACAAAATCTGTTTTTAACCGACTGCCAAAAAGGAGGAGGTTCTCAATTCGTCGGAATCTTTTTTTTATGTATGTTCACCGATTACTCGAAGACGCCTGAACCGATTTGGTTATTTTTTTGTTTCGAAGGATATACTTCCCAGGTACTTCCATATAAATTTTATCATTATCGGTTGAGCGGTTTTTTAAAAAATCAACAATTTTTTTTAAATAAATTGCTTAATCGAATATGTAATTAAAAAACTTTCTTCTTACAAATTACCTGCTTATTACGTCTACACTAAAAATGGCAAAATAATAACTTAAAAAAAAACGACTTCCGTGCAACTTCCGTGCACGAAAATGTAAAAAATAACTAAATAGGGGTTTTCATAGTCGGTTTTTTTTTAGTTTTTATTATTAATCTTCTAGCTATAGGCTATCACGTTTTACTTTAAATTATGTTAATAATTTATTATTTAAAATTAAAAAAAGAGCAATTCAATAACAAGCTTTTAATTTTAAGGCAGTTTTAGTACGTGTCGCTACCGACTCATTATGGGCTGAAGGGGCAACACCAAAGGACGAGTGGATCGCCAAACAACATTCAAATATAATCGTTATTGCAATATTATTAACGACTACGTTAGGATCAGTTCTAACGACAGTTTTGGGTCCCATACTACTATCTCCTGACGCAAAAGTAGCACCTGAAGGTGAGTTTCTGTATGACATACACACCTACTTCTTATTCTACGACTCGGCTACGTGTGCTTTTCTAAACCACCCAACCATTAAAATATACTTTAAAAGATGATGCTGTATATTTTGATCACCTTGACAGATTTAAATGAAGCTATTTCTCAATTCAAACTAAAATAACTATCAAAATCAGCTGTCTTGCGGATCTTCTATAATGAACATTAAAGTTGGCTGTAATTTAAAAAATCTATAATATAAAATATAGTTGGGTTTATTACAACACTTACCTGTAACTCGAGAACGGCTGGACCGATTTTTATGATCTTTGTTTTGTTGGATTTGACTTCACCCCGAATAGCAGAATATCCAATACAAATAAAACATCGAAAAAAATATCTATTTCTAGTGTGAGTCGCTAGTATTCAATAAAACTACAATTAACGACGTAGTAATTTTATTATATTTTTATTTAATGATATACAAAATTCTGCTCTGAAATTTTCAAGTAAAATTTTTAAAGGTTATTCTAGATTATTGATAGAGATATTTTTAATAGATTAGATGCAGGAGATTATTTCAAATGTTAAATATTCCCGTAAATCGAAGAAAGTATTAGATTATCCTAGGTTTGAAATTAATTATTAAATTTCAGATCCCCAGCCGTCGTCCGCGCCACACTCCTCAGAATTTGCCAACGCCAACAATACCCTAGACTCTCTTCAATATATAGATTCCCAGTAAAAAGAAAAAATATGCGTCAGTTTTATTTTTGTTACAGTAAAACAGTATTGTTCTTTGGTAATCTGTAAATCGTGAGATATATATTAAAAAAGTTACTCTCGGATTTTCCATGCCTAACGACCAACATAAAAAATATATAAATAATGTGTCTAATAAATATGTTAATTGGTATTAAATATTTTTCAAGAACGCTGAGTTTTTTTCTTATGTAGTATATAAAAAAAATATTTTCGTAAATAAGGTTTTTTTGGTCAAGATTGAAAGTTAAATAATTAAAAATTAATATTATTAAAAGGATTAATATTATTAAAATAAATATTATTAAAAGGAGTCCCTTTAGGCAAGTTTCCGAAGATACTGGCAGCGTTCCCCCTTTGAATAGCTAGACTAATTCTTTGTCCGAAGTAGCTGCCAGCTCTTCGGTCTCCTGTGACGTCGAATAACCTTTTTGCTATTTCCTTAAAAAGTCTTATAGCGCTAGGACCCCACGGACCAAGGGTCTCGACACCGAAAGGAACAAAATCATATTCAGAACCTAGGTTAAATAAATATATATTAAATATATTTAATACGAATGTGTATGTTTGTTTGTTACTTCTTCACACTGAAACGGCTGAACGGATTGGGATAAAATTTAGTATACTGATACAACTGGAATATACGGATATGAAAGTTGCTTTTAGGCGCTGAGTGACGCAACTGAACGAAACGAGTATTTAACTCTATCACTAGTATATAATAAAATGGAAATACATATTATATTACTTATAAATTACTTATATATTAAAACCCTATCAATGTTAAAAATCAAAAAATCTAATTAATAATAGGTAAATATTTATTAAAGTCTTTGATACATAATATAGCTTTTAATAGATTTCACTTACGAGTATTATTATATTATGTACTTATGAAAAATAACATTTAAAGACAACTGATGAAACTAACCCTGTAGCTTTCAATGAATTAAAGTATTTTGATATTTAAACATTAGTCTTGTAGCAATCATGTGATGGCCATAAATCAAACACAAAATACGGAAAAGGCAGTGAAAAGCGTGAATAGAATGAAAAGTTACTACGAGTATATTATCTACGTCTGAGTAAAGGTGTTAAAAAATAATTGTCTGGCTACTCTCTAAGGAAGAAGCTAAAAATACGTATTGTATTATGTCGTCAGGTCCAAAGTGCGGACTAATCGTTCATAAACCTACTTTGCTTTGACTGTTAATAATAATAAATATTATTTATATTATGAATCCATATTATTTTTCTAATCGTTATTGTATTATTACGTCAGGTCCAAAGTACGGATTAATCTATACATATAATAAAATTGTAACTAAGCCGAATCTGTACATTAAATATTTTTGGAAAAACTCATTGAAATAGACATTATTATCTATACAGAGGCGTAATCTATAGTTTTTAGAATGTCTGTCTATCTGCCTGTCTATTACCGCATTATTGAAAAACCACTGGAGGGATTTTGATGAAATTTGGTATGGTGATAGCTGGTCATCCGGGTCAACATATATATATTTTTACCGCAGGAAAATATCTCATTCTTGAGAAAAAATACAAAAACTGCAATGTAAGAGAATACTAATATGTAAAACCTAAGAATTTGGTTTTTGGTCATTTGAACACGGGCGGAGCCGCGGGCAATGCTAGTCGTTCATAAGCCTACTTTGCTTTGACTGTTAATAATAATAAATATTTATATTATTATGAATCCATATTATTTTTCAGAATATTTTGTTCCTAAAAATTTTACAGAAGCGCAAAGCTTTTGTTAAATATCATAACTTAGTGTAAACCTGTTATTATAAATTACAATACGCTTTCAATAAGTAAGAACAATTAATAATAACTTAATCATTACCTAGTTATAAATAAAACTAAAATATCTGTGATTTTAAAACAGTAACTTAACATTGAGACGATGTGTATTTGCACAATAAACAATGTTCAAACCTTTTTTTTCTCTATCTGCCTAAGTGGCTGTGTTTTGTATCCGCTTATACTAAAATCTTGAGAGTTTTAGCACAAAGTGTAAGGGACGTAATGTGAAAATGGGTTACTAATAATACCATGAAAAGTCTTCATATTATGTCCAACTTATTTTTTTCTATGCAAACATACATAACTTCACGCTACATTCATTGCGAGATACTCAGAGAGATAAGACCGCCAAACTCTATGATCTCTACATAGTCCCTACTCTAGTGCAGTCATTTTTTTTATCCACACTAGTCCGAGAATGAACGAAATGAATGATGAATGAATGAATGAATGAATGAAATGAACTTATAAAATGTGTTTTTAAGTATAGAGTGGGCTTAACTCATGTCCTGTCAATTCATATCTGCAGCCAGAGTCAGCTTACTATGTTATCAACAGCGATACATTGCTCAGCATCCGCTTAGCATTTTTTCTCTTCCGTCTTCAAACACAAGCTGTATAGAACACGTTCAAGGGAAAACATTCAAGATGTATGGTGATACTTCATCAAATCTTTTCTAAACCTCTTTCAAGTTATTGGTGTGTCATTTTTAGATTTATTTTATTTACGAATAGGGGAGAGAATTTCTAATGATGAAATCCTTGTAGAAATTTACGCACGATTATCTAAATATCACCATTTTTAATCCAATATGGTGGACGTTACAACATGGCGATTTATCATTTTCATAGTGACCCTTATGATATAGGCATCAAATAAAAGGACTTGATGAGCGAAACACAATAAGCAAAGTCATGTCATTGCAAATCCAGTATGGCGGACTATGTTTTTTATGCACCCCCATGATCAATCAAATGAAAGGGTTTACTGAGAAGAATACGAATAAAATATAAAGTAAAAAAAAAGAAAAAAGAATCAATAAATAAAAAAAACAAGAAGCCAGTTTTTAATAAACAAGAATCTCTAAAAAAACAAAGAAGTATAACTTCTTACGTGCGTACATAAGTACACCCACCTTTTTTTTACATGTTTAGAATTAAAATTAATATATATTGTAAAATATTTTGGTGCCAATTTTGTGTTTTTGAAATCATTTTGTAGATTTGTGGGTACGCACTGTCCGTAACAAGTGATGACCATTGATACGTATAACCTGATTGACCTTAGTCTCTGCCGTGATCATGATTGCTGTAAAGCATTCAAAATAAATCCGCAAAAAAATCCGAAAATATAGTTTTATTTAACTGCCTCGGTGGTGTAGTGGCTAGCATGTACGGTTGCACACCCGGAGGTCCTGGGTTCGAGTCCCGGGTCGGGCCAAGTTTTGTTATTGAGTCTTCCTGTATAGTAAGTCTCAGTAACAGCCCGGAGTTGGGAAGTTGGCGGTGTTTCACCCCCGTGCCTCGGAGAGCACGTAAAGCCGTCGGTCCTGCGCCTTAACTCTCACCGGTCGTGTCCAGTGGTCGCCCTACCGGAGTATGAGAGTGATAGGAATAGAGAGTGCACTTGTGTCTGCGCGTACACTTGAGCACTATAATATCTCCTGCGCAGTTGGCTAATCTCATTGAGATTGGCCGCCGTGGCCGAAATCGGCTAGGAGAGCATCATCATTTAAAATTTCAAATATTCGCGTAAATCTAAGAAAGTATAACTTAAACCTTTTTATCTTGATCATTAACATATCGTTCTTTCCTGTCAATAGCCATAGACTTTTACACTACAATTTTCTTTAATATAAGCTACAAAGAATATCCATACTAATATTATAAATGTGAAAGTGTTTGTTTGTTTGTCCTTCTTTCACGTCGAAACGAAGTGATAGGTTGGCGTGATTTTTTGTGTGGAAATGGTTAGAGAGCTGGAAAGGGACATAGGCTACTTTTTATCGCGGGAGTCTTAGCATTTTTAGGAATTCATCCTACAAGGGGATAAAATAGGAGATGAAGGTTTGTATGAGATCTACCTTTTTAGAGTTTTTTTTTTATAATTTTAGGGCGAGCGAAGCCGCGGGTTCAGCTAGTACGTTATAAATATAAAGCAATTCTATTTTTACCTTAATACTTTTATCGGGTTATATTAACATAATATTCTACTATTTATATCAATGATAAAATTCAATAAAGATTAAATCAATAAAACGATTATACAATATTATATTCTCAGAATTATACATCCATGCGCTTTATCTATGTAGTAAATAAACTTATCTAGTTAGAAATTTTTATTCTGAACAGAAAGATGCAGCATAAACGAGAATAGGTGATAACTTCTAGATTTCTGCTAGTACCAAATATTTACACTTTAAGTCTATGTAGCTGTGTGGCTTAAACATACTTCATTGTCCAAAATGCTAAAATAAGAAACATTTTTTAGAATCCTGCTTCTCGCGTGGCAGGTGCTACTCCATTCGGGATATTACTTCAAATTTATTGAGCAGTCACAGAATTTAAAATAAACAACATTACTTACAAACCGTCGCATATTTAATATTAATATGATGTTAATACTAGTGAATTACCCTCGCCTCGCTCGGGTGCGTCCCTATGTACATTTTGAATAAATAAAAATAGTTATTGTGAGTGTACCTTGCACGCATTACATGCATTACGGCGTTTTAAAGACCTACAATTTTCTAGTGCATTGTTTTTATGTACTCGTATAGGCTTAGCCAGCGTTAGCCGTATAAGAGTACAAATTTAGACTTTCGAGTTTTTCTTTGCAAAACTGCCAATCAGCCATCCTGTTCAAATACTTATAAATTATATTCACATACCTTCCTCTTTTATAGTTCATTCTATTAGTGAAAATTCTATCAAAATCCGCTGGGAGATTTAGAAGACGTAAGTGGAGATACAGAGACAAACAGCGACTTTTTTAAATAAAACAAACAAATATACGGACAAATAAACAGACAGACAAAAATTTAAACAACTATTGCTTTGGCGTCTATATTTTTTACACAATAAGTAATATTTCATGTACAGGTTTCGCTTTGTTGCTATTTTATTATACGTGAAACATTAGCTTATGAACTTGCTAAAAATTATTTATTTTTTTTTATTTTTTTATTGTATTCTGAATTAGTGCTTGACTGCGTTCCACCTGATGGTAAGTGGTAACGCAGTCGTAGATGGTAAGTCACACTAATTCAGTAGCCACCTATTCACTCTTGCCTTGAAGACACCCATGTTGTACTCGGACGGAAACACCGACGCCGGCAGGTTGTTCCAATCCTTAGCCGCACGTATAATGAATGACGTAGCGAAACGCTTCGTCCGGACGGGTGGAATGTCCACGACATAAGGATGGAGACCAGCCGTTCGTCGGGTTGTCCGATGGTAGAAAGGAGATGGAGGAATCAAGCCGTGTAGTTCCTGCGCACACTCTCCGAAATGTAACCTATAGAATACACAAAGGCTGGCAACCCTACGTCGGTGATCGAGGCTTTGTAAGTTAGCTTTTACCAGCGTAGGGTCACCAATAAGCCTGAGGGCACGCCTCTCAATTGAGTCTAAGGCTGACAGATGGCACTTCGCAGCACCAGCCCAAATGTGACTACAGTATTCCACACACGACCGGACTTGAGCTTTATATAAAACAAGAAGCTGTCCCGGTGTGAAATACTGTCGGACCTTTGCTAGTATGCCAACTTTCCTCGCTGCGACATTAGCCCTAGACTCAATGAACCGCCCGTAGTTCATATTGGGGCGAATGTCCATGCCTAACAACTGCAGACGGTCAGTGTATTCCAGAGGCACATTCCGGAAAGTAAGGGTCAAGGTAAAAGGACTCCGTTTTGATGTGAACAGGCACGCCTGTGTTTTGGTGGCGTTGAAACTCACAAGATTGGCATCACCCCAAGTGGAGACTGTCCTGAGTGTGAGATTCAACCGCTCTACCATGGCCTCTCTTTCGGACTGAATTTGATCTCTACTGGCCCGAGGATTCGGCAGGTATCTCTCTACAATAGTGCTGTCGTCTGCGTACCCATAGATACCGGGTATAAGCAGATCGTTGATATGCAGCAGGAACAAGGTTGCAGAGAGAACAGACCCCTGAGGAACTCCTGAGTTGGTCTTTAAGGGTTGTGATGAACAACCCTCAACCACAACTCTGAGTGATCGGTCGCTCAGGAAGTCTTTAATCCAGCGGATCAGGCCAGGAGATATGCCATAGGCTGCAAGCTTGCTTATAAGGCTATCGTGCCAGACCCTATCAAAGGCCTTTGAGACATCGAGGGAGACGGCAATCGCCTCCCCGCTTCGCTCAAGAGCTTCGCCAAAGATGTGATTGGCACACACTAGAAGGTCCCCAGTTGACCGGTTCCGGCGAAATCCATATTGTCGATCACTGAGGAGGTCGTTTTGTTCTAGGTATGCCATAAGACGTGTGTTCAATACACGCTCCATAATCTTGCAGAGTATGGAGGTGATTGAGATTGGACGATAATTGGTAGGGTCAGCACGGCTTCCTTTCTTGGGCACTGGTTGCACGTTGGCAAGCTTCCAGGATTTAGGTACTATTCCAGTCTTAAGAGCGGTACAGACGTGTCAGTATCGGAGACAACTCGGGAGCACAAGTTTTAAGCACTATCGCTGGTATACCATCAGGACCACTGGCTTTATTCACATCTAGACTACACAATACTCTCTTTACCTCCTTATTAGTTATGCAGATTTCAGGCATTGAAATCCCGCAGTGAGGTAGATGTGGTGGAATGGCATTGCCAGAGTCTAAACATGAATTTTGGGCAAAAAGAGAGGCAAGCAAAGTCGCCTTTTCCTCTGCCGTATTATTTTGAAACAACAGTTCTGTAGAAAGAAAAATTAAATTAAATTATTATTTAGTATAATAAAAAAAGTCACAATTATGGTCGTTATTTATTACATAGTATAGTATATAAATATTATTTAAATTATAAAAAAAATAACGACCATAATTGTGACTTTTTTTATTATACTAAATAATTTCACAATGTTAAATACGTAAAAAATATCTTAACTCTACCAATGAGTTTCATTTTTAAGAGGATTTAATAAAGTATTGAAGATTGGAAAACTTTAGCCTCGTAAGCAAACAATGTTGAAAAGGCAATGCGATAGAACAGTATAGTGGATCTTTTTAAGAGAACATCGACGTTAAAAAGGTTCGTTTATATAAAGGGTATTCAATTTAAAATATAAAAGCTAGTTCAAAATAGCCATTTTTTTAATTTAAATTACTCTATATTATTCTGACGTAATTTTGCTATTTTCTTTTTGCTTTTGAATGAATATAAATTGATGCCATACATCAATTTATATTTATTATTATAATAAAAAAAAATCTAATTGTAGAAATCTTTTCATTGATTAAGACGAAAAAAAACGATTAAACTAGAGTATTTATTATAGAAATCAATAAAATATTGAAGCACGTAAGACTTTTTTAGGTCAAAAACCTGTCATAAGCATTTATTATCTTTGCGATTCTCAATGATATTATGCAAAAAACTAGTCAAGCGTCAACTGCTACGTCTTCTTTCAAGGCAGTTAAGAGCCTTAGCGGCAACAATCATTTATTGATTCGGCTCATGACGTGTACTGTAAGCAGTACGCTACGCGGCATTCACTACCCTGCGCACGATTCACCAGTGGTCATTCAAATGATTTTTCTTATTTCCTGTGGTCAACTATTTGTGTCGCTCAAATAAAATATTATTTGAAAAAATATTTAAGTGATTTTTTTAAAAACTTTTCCTAAAGGACTGAGGACAAGGCGATGCAAGGAAGTAAGTGTATTATTTAAAAATATTTATATATTGGAAATAATTTATAATATTTTTAAAAAAAATTTTTTTCCAATAATAATATTCTTTATATATAATATATAATAACGTATCTACGTTATATTATTATATATTATAAATATTAATTACATAAATTTTATTTACTCACACATTATAGCTTTTTATTTAACGAATTATCATATATACAACAAATTTAACATTTAATATACCTATTAGTTTATTAATAGATGGTACATCTAATATCAATTATTACAAAAGTTTTTTTTTACAAAAAAAACTAAAATTTTTATTATATTTAAACAGTCCAAAATGAAATAACAATTTTATGGTACCCATTTATCTGTTAATCTTTCTTAAAGTCTAATAGTGTAAGTGACGTAACTTAATAAAAATATTCTGAAAACGACTCATCAGTTCCTATTTGAGACAGAAAAGTCTAATAAATATTTAAACGCTAAATTATTTTTACACTATCAGAGGATGTAAATTTTGACTTGATTTCTATATATAAATTGTGCCCATGACTTCCTATTAAAGTTCTGAGTACTTAACATCGCGCTTATGCTCTATTCTGTCAGTTAAAAATAGCATTCATTAAGAAGTTGCTATTTTTGTATCATGCTTTTATGTAAATAATTAACATCACTAAAGACATATTTACATTAATTCTAATAATATACTCCGTAATTTAATCTTCAGTTCCATTTAAATTATGATGTAAATATAATTATTATTTATTTATTTATTACATAGGTCGTTAACAGAGCCTACATTCTTACAATCATACATGTTATAAGCAAAAGAAAGATCTAGACTAAATGATGCCCTAATTATAAGCAACATTGCATTCTAATAAGACAACGAAATATATAATTAAATAATAATAATATACATTAGTAAGCAAAAATAAAATTAAAATAAAAGTTAACAGTATGTACACGCAAACCAAAACATAAAAATGTGTGTGTTTTTTTTAAATTATTACAATAATCAATTAACTATTGATAATAGATTGAAGAAACTTGAGTATCATAATTTTGTTTTTATAAAAGAGACTAACTACGAGATGGTTCTTTTTATGAAAAGAAAGAAATATCATTTTTGTAAACCAAGTTATTTGTATTTTTTCTTAGTATTATTAAGTATATTAGTGAATTGTTGAAGAGAGATACTTATACAGGTGTATTAAAATATGATTTTCACATGTAATTTAGTGAATATATAGACAAAATATTTCATGCAAATAACAACACTTGTTTTGCGGGCAGTGGTGGCCCAGTGGTAACACGGTCCCGAAACCCAGTGAAGTGGGTTCAAATCCCGGGTCTCGCACCTCTGATATTTTCATGTGCGAATCATTTCCAATATTATGATTACCATTTGTCTTAACGGTGAAGGAAAACGTGGTGACGAAACCTGTCTGAGAGAACCTAGTTTTCAAAAGACATGTGCCGCCAATCCGCACTTGGCCAGCTTGGTGGACTATGGCCTGGTCCGCCTCACATTGAAGAGCCCATGCCCAGCAGTAAAATAAGCAGGGCTGAATACAAGAACATTTATCACATATTAAAGACAAAAACTCCTATACTATGTAGTATTTTTAATCAGTTTTTCAAATGAACGCTAAATAATATTTGTTAGATTGTATTCTTTGTTTCTTCAATGATTTAAAATGAATATTCTTCAGGGATTAGTGTGAAGCAAATACATGAATGAAAGTTTGATAAATAATATATATATATAATAAAATATATATATTGTTTGGATCTTCAAAATCTCTTAGATGGTTCTGACTTGATAAACGAAATGAATGATGAAATGTTCTTAATATGTTTAGTAAACATCATTTCATATAGTTTGACTTTGCTAAATTTATTTTAATATTTAAATTAAAATAAGAATTTTAGTGGCCCTTAGTAGCTAATTTTTTATAAAGACAAATGTTAATATAATTTATTAGCGACTCGCCCTCGATTCGCTCGGATTTGTCCGAAGCTTACTTCCCAATATAAACTTCCATCCCCATTTATTTTCACCCCCTTAAGGGATGACTTCCGAGATTCTTACGTCTTATTAAAAATTAAAATGGCGGATCTTAGGCAACATTTTATGTTTTTATTATTATCATTTTGTCCGAATCAATCGATTGCAGTATCAAAATACAGAATTTTAAAACGCGATTATAAAAATATATACTTGTTTAAACATAATTTAAGATAAAAATCTGTTAAATAAAAATGTATAAATGGCCAAAACTAAAAAGCTGTAAGTAAAAAAGTAATTTACAAAAATAAAAAATCGCCACTGCGCTAAAAGCGAACTAAATAATTGAGAACAAGTTGACGAAGGAACTTACTCGTAGTATTATGACGATATGTTTGGCTCAGTTTGTAGTGACCCTACTTGCTGTGCCAGCGGTCGCGGGTTCAAGTCCCGCTGGGGGCATTCATTTGTGTGATGAGCGCGAATGTTTGTACTCTAGTCATGGGTGTTTATATTTATAATATTTATAAATTTAAAGTTATATACGTGAAGTGTATCAACTATCTGGTATCCATAACACAAGCATCATAGCTTACCATGGAACTAGATGGTGCCGTGTGTTACTGTACCAACATATTATGCAGTGGGAGACAAAGTACCAAGTTATATACTAGCTGGAGTGCGAGTCTTGCTTCGTAGTATGTATGTACAAATGTGTATGTTCCGACTGCATAATACTATGTTCCCTGGTCAATTTGTTCGCATCTTTTTAGTTCTATTTTTACTCAGTCGGGTTTTTAATTTATCAATCCTTTTACAAACAGAGAGTGGTGACAATCGGAATGAAATCTTTAGCTATTTTTGTACTGTTACGCCAAAGACGTATAACTTCTTATGTGCGTACATAAGTACACCCACATTTTTTTTATTTTAGTCAATTGGGTATGTTTTCGTTTTTTCATTAAAAAATATTTTGCCCATAGAATTGTGGCAATTATGCCAATAAAAAGACTGACATTAGTGACACACACACAATACTTTTTAATCTTTATGATTTCTGAGACAACGAAGACCGGTTATTCAATTTATTTTATTTTTCTAATAATCAACTAGGACTGATAACTGGCTTAGTAAATTTATTCCTCTAAAAAGTTGTATTTGCCTCTTTCCTGTTTTATACACCACTTATGAGTCAAAATCTAGTTTGTAGTCGATTAAACACAATCTTTTTTTTTCTAAGCAAATATTCATGAGGTTCAAAAATCTTAATCTGTATAATAATATATAACTTTAAACTTATTATATAACTGTTTATATAATCTATAAATATAATAAAATTGTAACTAAGCTGAATCTGTACATTAAATATTTTTTGGAAAATCTTATTGAAATAATCATTGTTATCGATACAGAGGCCGAATCTAGTTCTTAGAAATTTTGTCTGTCTGTCAGTCTGTCTGTCTGTTACCGCATTACAGAAAAACCACTGGACGGATTTAAATGAAATTTAGTATGGTGATAGCTGGATATGGTGTATCCGGGTCAACATATAGGATACTTTTTACCGCAGCAAAATGTCTCATTTCTGAGAAAAAAAATCAAAAACTGAAATGTAAGATTATACTCATATGTAAAACCTAAGAATTTGGTTATTGGTCATTTGAACGCGGGCGGAGCCGCGGGCAATGCTAGTAAGAAATAAGTTTATATACCTTACTGAAGATATCACGGATCATATTATACTAACAAGGTCGTTTTTTTTTGAGGCTGATTATAAAAAACAATCCAAAATATGTATTCGTATATCAATATATAATATAGGGGAGAATCGGTGTTGATTAGAACATGTCGATTATGATAAAGTTCACATAAGTAATATATAAAATAATACGCACTGAACGTACTATATTTTTAAATTATATATAATTCTAGTAATAATATTAATGCTTATAATTAACTCCCACAATCCAAAATTAACTCTACAAAAGTAAATAATCAAAGAACTTATAAATTAATTATTAATAAATAATCATTAATCCTGAACTTTGTAAGGAAATCTTTAAGTGAATAAAATAGTTTCCAACTCATTTAAACACTTTTCAGGAATTCGTACTTTAATCAGACTTTATTTTATTTTTGGCTTAAAACTTGAACAGGTGTTTACTTCTTTATCATATATATATATATTATATATATATATATATATATATATATATATATATATATATATATATATACTAAAACCTTCCTCTTGAATCACTCTCTCTATATATATACCTTCCTTTTATAGTCCATAATTACTAAAATTCAATAAAAATGAAAGTCGATTCTATGTATAAAAATGTTCCTAAAAATGTACCTTACTGTCTCTTACTCTTTTCACTTTAATTATTTTTACATTTTTACACTAAATATTATCTTTAGTATTATACACCTACAAATAGATATACTAATAAGGAACTAAAAACCGTTTACGGAACTAAGATAAATGGTCTAGTACTTTTTTTATTGGTCTTTTCCGTCATCATCGCATTTTTTACGTAATACAGACTATATACGATTGCGTGATAGATATAATATAGACGATAGCGCGCGATGCAGAACCATTTGTGATTTAGGTAATAAAAAAATATATTTTCAGACTTCAAGAGGTTAAGCCCATATTTCGAGCACCTAAATTTAGGGGGCATTTTAATATTTAGGTGATCCCTAACTGTCGGTGAAACAGAAACTGTCCCCTAACAGCCATGCTTAGGGGATCCCTTAAACTTAGGTGACGTTGGTGAAATCGGGCATCAGACTTTTAGCCGATAAAGTTTTGTAATAATATGCTTAGCAAGTTGCTCACTTAGGCTGAAGTCACGATTTTCAAATATTTTAAGTATAAATAAAAATTTATAGGTCCAACGCACCAGCTTACTAAAAATAACTTGTTGCCACGATTTTTTATGCCACTGTCTACAATATACTAAAGTATTTTTCAAAAATAAGCAGACACT